GGAGGTTGGCTATAAGGATCCTTGCAGTCAGCAGCTGGCTGTATTATTAGTCTTGCTCTAAGGACAGTCCCAATGAGACATTGATAGTAGTTTCTATCCCTCTTAATTTCACTGATAACTCATCAATTTGCTGACTTAGTTTAGAAAATTTTGCACGGTGAAAGAGTAGTTTTTTAGTGTGGTATCCTATGTCATAAAAATTGTTATGGTTTCTTTTATTGAGACTGCCCTAAGAGCACTCCCAACGCAAAAATTACCATAATTTCTATCCCTGTTAATTACGCATTTTGCTAATATGGTGATCAATATAATGAAGAGAGAGCGGAGGAAATGGAGAAACCGATTCTAAAAATCGAGTCTTCACGAGCATCGAAGCAATCGAAACCACCTGAAACCGCGTTGTGGAGGAGGGCAATGGTTTCTATCGGCACCCGGGATCCCATGCGCGAAGCCTTCTTCTCACTCGGCAGACCTCGCTCATCGCCGGCGGTACCTTGCGCGGCGGATCTTGCTCGCCACCGATGGGACCTTGCGCAGCCGGATCTCGTGCCTGGCAGACCTCACTCACGCGTAGCTGGCGGAACCTCGCGCGGTGGACCTCTCTCACGCGTGGCCGGTGGGATCTCGCGCCATCGTAGAGCTCGCTCGCCGCCGACGGGAGCTCGTGTGCGGGAGGCAGGGACGGGGCAGGAGTGCGGCGGGCGGCTTGCGCCACAGGAGCACGGCTGCTGGGGCAGGCGCCTCTGCCGCCATCATAGCTTGCGCCACGGGAGCGCGGCTACCGGGCCAGGCGAGGGTCGCTCCTCCACTGCCGTCGAGGCTATGGACGCCTCGGCCCTGGTGAGCGGCGAGGACGCGGCCGCCAGTGCTAGCTTGGGGCTCGGACATAGGCGCGGCTTCACTATGAACTCGCCTCGCGCACGGCTGTGTGGTGTGGTTTCTTCACAGACAGAGGAACACTGTGATTGATTGGTTCATTTTTTATGAGGACACTAGGAAAAAGTCTTACACCGGGTGCCCTAACTTGTACTGCGAGTGCTCTAGAAACTAATCATGGTTTCTTGCACTGCGAGTGCCCTAACTTGTTAGAAGCCGGCATTGAAAAACCTGAATAAATCAACTTTTGGCTAGTTTTAAGTTATTTTTTTATGTTTAACCAAAGCGAACATAAAAATTTTCTATGGTGTATCTTGTGTACCTAATATTGTCTTCCACTAATGAACTTCATGAATGTGGAAACTGTCTTTGTTTGCCTCTCTACAACTCTCATGTTTTATATAACATATTGAATACAGGTTTTTAAGGTAACCTAGATGGTTAGAAATTCTAATCTAAATAGATCTCTCCAATCATGAGTAATAAGCTGAATAGGAATCCTAACCCAGATTGAAGAATATTCTAGTAAAAATTGAACAAAATATTGTCTTACTTCTATATCTATATCCCTATCTACCAAATATTAAATAGCCAAAATTTCTACCGTAATTTTTTAAAAACCGTGTTCTTTTTCTTTTCGTTTTTCCTTTACGGCATTCCTGTCCTTTTTATTTTCGTTTTTCTATGTGGTGTCCGCCTGCTTGCGATGCGGTGTATACCGCACGTAGGTTCCTTTTTTTGTTTTTTCTTTTCCATCAAAGTTTATCTTTTTCGTTATAAACATTACAAATAAAATAAATATAATATTATGAATCTTTAAAACCTTAACTTTTTAGTAAATAAATATTTTCCCAATTTTTTTTATTAGAAATAAAACTTAATCTTATTAGAACCTGGATTAACTGATAGTTGAACTAATCCATGAGTAGTTTGTTATCTAATTTAATTAAAATAAATCTTCAATCAGTACGCATACCTGTGCAGTCATCTCGAGAGAGGTCTCCGTCAGACAAATCGACAACAACTAATTCAACAAGTATATCAAATAAATAGGAAAATGGAAGGATTTCACGTTGAATGTACTAGAACTTTTCTGACCCAAGCTGCTGTTGTCTCTTTGGATTCGATTCTTCTAAATCGCGGTGGCGGAAGGGCTTCACGGTCCATGTAGGAAAGCAGACGCCTTGCTCTCGACGGCATTGGCACCACAGCCAGCTGCCGGAGCATATGCTATGTTAGCCGCCGCGTGACCGCATCACCACCTCCACTATGTCGTTGCCTCCATTTTTCCTATAATTTGATGTCATAAATTTTTACATTTTTCCTATAAATTTGATTATTTTTTTTAAAAAAAACACCGACTTAATATAGCTTTAGTTAGGAATTTGATTCATTCAGAAACGGAGGAAGTATTTCAATAATAAAAGGGTTAAACTCCGACATTACCAATCTGGTACTGCTTTTATTTATCCCTTCCGGTCCCAAACCTCTCTTCTTCCATCGTTAACTCCCACTCGAATCCGTGCCCATGCGCATCACGATGGCTTTGCCCACATGAGCATGTGCTTGACTCAATGACTCAGTCTTCCGTCTTTCTCAGCCTCTCAATAGGTACACAAAATAGCCAACCTCACAGTAGACACACAAAATATCCACGTATTTAAGTTTAGTTGATTTTCTAGGCGTCCCAATTAACTCTGCTTGGGCGTTTAGGTGCAGCTATCAATAATCGTACTCTTTAGGCACGTCTATATTCATGCATTGTTCATTTAATACCACATCACCCGTGAAACTCTGGACATGCATATGCCCATAAACATGCTCATCGGGGCAAAGCATGGCAAATTCATGGATGAAGTCAATACTCATACCGAGGAGACAATTCAGTGGTTCAAATCATAGTGATGGAATATGAATGCCTCTGCCCTATAGTACAATGGTTGGCAACTGATGCCCGTAGTGACATAGAAGGGGAAAAATCTACAAAAATGAATCTACTTCCTAGGATTAATTCAGCCCGTCTTATAGCAAATAATCTAGCCTCTGTATTTCATCAATGTGACGATGTGCGCGACATATATGATTGTGCCTCTGTCTTCCACTTGTAGTCGGTGAAGACTAGCCAGAACCGGGTCATTCATCCTTGTTGAACAACATAACCTGCACTGGATCCTTATGACGTCAGATATCATACATATGATGACAGGTCCAAGTAAATGCATCCTTCTCAAGTGAAATAATTTCTAGAAAAAGAGTGCACTTCCAACAAAGTTCAATGCTTAGTGCTGATTCAACATGGACTCATGATCTTCTGTAATCAAATCAAGTTGTCAAATATATGAAGTAGAAGTACATCCTCCCAATATATCAAGACATTTGCAATTAATTTCACAACTAAAAGATGGGTCATGTGACAACAAAAGCATTTACATGCTGTAAAATCAAGAAATGGTCAAATACAGTGAGGTAGATGGTGAAACTATCACGCCATGCATCCAGTCAACGACTGTACAAACAAAAGAAATTAAGAAAGCAACATACCCTAGTAATCTGATAGACTTTGAAAAATCAAAGAATTGCAAACAAAACAATCCACACTTGTTAACATTGCTAACTGGAAGATAGCTACGATAGTTCAACATTAACATATTTTTTATTATGTTTCTGTCTGAATGAAAAATCCACGCTATCTCGTTTTTATTGCAAGACAAACATAACACATGGATGAGATAGTGTTATACATTAGAACCCATAGTGAGCATGCCGTGGACTAACTAAATCTGAGGTCTGAAAAATGTACGATTTTTATAGTCAAGTAGAAAACTTACAGTGTATACTGACACCCTTGATTAACTGTGGGGCAAGAGAAAGAAAAAGCTTTCCACCACGCTGGTCCTTCCCATTGATCCATTTATCAAAAAGTCTGTTTATCACAAAATGACACAATGTACAGAAAGCAAGAAACAGAGGAAAAACACACAGAACAACAAATAACAAATTTCTATCCACTGAAGTGCTCCCACAATGCAACTACTGAGGCACGAAAACACAACAAATTATAGCCAGCAATAGCAAATGCATGTGACTTCAATAATAAAAATGTCACCATAGTAGTTTCAAAAAAAATGTTACCATAATACAACAGACAGTAATACAATGCAGGGAGCAGCAACATCAAAATGCTCCCAGATTCTAGCATCAAGGAGAGGATAATCTACACAAGGAAGATCTTTAACAAGCAAGTCAATCATCCACAAGATTGCGAATTGTTGATTCACTGTTTTATAAAAGATAGATTGAACAAAGACTTGAAAAACATGCCATTTAATAGCTAAACCAGAAAATACCTGAACCATCTTCCAGTGTCCAGTGGTGCCATGGAAACCGAGGTCTTGCATAGGCAAAGAAGAGCATTGTGAAAAAACGATTGTTTTAGCATACTGCAATCAGAATTAAGCCATCTTGATCAATCAGGAGCACCCTACACCGTCATTCTCCTAGGCAACCAAAAAAAAAAAAATCCTTGGCAACCACCATTCACAAAACAAGGAAACGCTTCCATAACCAAAATCATCGACACCTTAAATCCCAAAAATGAAGAAACATCTGTATTACAAGGCACGTGGTCACAACACATAAGATCGAGTACCATCCAACAAAACCAGACAACGATGTGAATCTTTGATCAATTTCCTACTCTGTTCAGCCAATACAGCATGCCCTAATTCCTTCTAAAAGAGCAAGAAGAAACACTCAGCAGATTAGCTAACAATTTCCCCAACTGGTCACAAGCCATCATTAACCAGGTGCCCTGCAATGCCTCAGCAAAAGCAGTACATGTATGGACTGAGTGCACTGAATGGATCCTCAGCAAATCATGCTTGCCAATGCCATTTGATTGCTCATTTTATTACTTGGGCTTTGGGCATAATATGATGCATGTCTCAAGCTTCTATCTTCTCTCATAGAAAAGAAGGAAAGCCTCGACTTGAGAACTTCGTCTAGAGACACTTCTCTGATGCTTTTATCATTAGACGAAACCAAGCGGAAAAGCTATTGCTTGTCTCCTGCTCAAGGACAATCCTGCTTCCTCTCGCATAAGCAACAAAGTGCACACCCCCCTGTTAGGTCCTCCTGCAATGCTCAATGCCACCAACTAGACGATATCTAGCATTATCTTTGTCCCCAGACCTGAAGGTTTGCAAAATAATAATTCAAAAGGTCAAACAAACGAAATGTTAGATTAGCTATCAACGTCACTAACAAGAAAATACTACCAGATTAACAGTTTTGACATATATCAAGTGACTAGCTGATTCCAAAACATAAAACAAAATTAGTGTCACAGTACAATTGTATTAGTCAGTTCATTCCATTTTTTATGCGCACAAAAAGGGAAAATAAAATCCTTAGCTGTTCCATTTTGCAGAAAGGGATCACATAGCCATTCGCAGATATGCCATAAATCGCCTATGTGTGAGACCCAAGACTAGGCAGTCATCACAATTCAATTAGACTTCACAATCAGCATGCAATGGAAGTACTAGATGCTAGTTGCCTATTGTCCCATTTTCATAGTACAGTCAGATACTAAAATAGCATAAATAAACTATTATAGAAATCTTTGTTCTGCGCCATTCTTTACAAAATTTTCAGACCCTTTTCAACACTGCTGCTATTTTTGTGCATATACTACAGAGGTCACACTTGGGTCACCAGGAGTGATAAAAACCCAGCAGAAACACCACAGGAAACAAAAGAAACCCAAGTAGAACTAGACAAAGTGATAAATTATTAAGAACTCAAACAAATTTATTTCTAACACTACTCCAGGTCAGACAAATGGCATTCTTTTATAGAGACATAAAAGCACCTTCTGAATGAACAAAATTGAAACATGCAGTCTAAACAGCTATTTTGAACTATACACCATATCTTCTTCAATCTTTCCTAAAGATACTGAACAAACTATGAAATAAAAAGTAGCTACTACAAATGAGAAACTTCAAGCTGCACAAAAGTAATAACTATTGCAGTAAAAAACTTGAACTTGGGTCTTCTCCCACTTGGCTTGCAGTATTTTCTAGCTCCACTTGTCGTGTTCTGTGTCCAGATTTAGTGCGCTGGCATTTTTATTATCATGGCACTCAACAGGTTGCTCTTTTCCTCCACTTTTCCGTGATGGTCACATTCAGCTCGGACCGTCAAGTGATGTGCTTTCACTGATGTATGCCACCATCTGTCCTCTATCTTTGCTTTGACTGGTGGGGCAAGAGAAAGCACAATCTTTTCAGCACGCTGGTCCTTCCCATTGATCCCTTATCACAAAGCCTGTTTATCACAAATGAAATGAACACAAAATACAGAAAGTAAGAAACAAGGAAAAAACGTATTAGGACAACAAATAATAAATTCCCATACAATGAAGTGCTCCCACAATGCAACTACTTAAGTATGAACACATTGTGGATCCATTGTTTTATAAAAGATAGATTAAGCATAGACTTGAAAAACATACCATTTAATAACAAAACCAGAAGCACCTGAAGCATCTTCCAAATTTCTAGTGGTGCCTAAACAAATTGAAAAGAGATGATCTAGCACAAGCAAAGAAATCTGCACCAAATCATATAGGCACAGACAACAATACTATATATGGAACCTAAAATCCAGATATTTTCTGTTTCAAAACTTAATATTTCTGATTTCAGATACTTATAGCTGCACAATTAAGCAATACGACATTAAAGATACTTATAGCTGCACAATTAAGCAATACTGAAGATGCTGAATTTTGATAGGGCCGGGAAGGGGAGGGCATGTACCTTGAGCAAAGAGAGCAGCAACACCTGTAACTGTAAGCAGCGAGTAAACAGAAACTTGAAGAATGGGTTAGAAAACGCACCTGGCGCCAGCAATCAAACACATACCGAACGCACCGACCAAACCTAACACATATCCATCTCCGGAGGAGGAGGTGGGAGCTGTTCAGGTGTCGCCACTACCGCTGCCGCCGGCTGCTGCGGCGGCAGATCGTAGTTCATGGCGTACACCCCATACACGGGCATGTAGTAGACGATGTTCACGCACGTCATGAGCACGATCGCGGCGATGCCCAGGTACACCCAGACGCGGAAGATCGGTACCCAGAAGCGGGCCACCTCGGGATCTGTAGTGAAGGAGAGGACCTTGATGATGCAGAGCACAACGTGGAGCCCGACCATAGCCATGCCCCAGGCGCGGCCCATGCCGCCGAACACGCAGGACACAGCGTACGGAAAAAGCAGCTTCACCTTCATCGGCGGCGAGGACGCTTCTCATCCTGCGCCGCTGCGGGTGGGGCCGGAGGTGGGCTCAGCATCGCAGCAGGAGCCGAAGGGGCGACGACTCGAGAGGAGCTGGGATCGAGCGAGGAGAGAGGAGCACCTGCTGACATCGGGCCAGGAGGGAGGAGCACCAGCGGCCTCGCCGGAATCGATCGAGGGAGCCGCCGGGTCGAGATCGCGAAGCGCGCGCGGAGCTGTGGTCGGGACTCAGGAGATCGAGATCGGGATGGGGGAATCGAAAACTCTGGGGATCGATTGCTCTGGGAGGCGGGGGGAAGCGGCGCCGACGCGCTAGGGTTTTATTGCCCGGGAAGATGAGTCGCAGAGTGGGTTCATGGAATTCTGGTGTCGCGTATCCCTCACGCGCCAGCCTGGAGGAAGAAGAAGAGTCGGAATCGGCTGCTCGGCCTCCCGCCTCCGCTCCGGCGCGGGGAGGTTAACCGCGGGTTTTTTCGTTATACCGACTTTACCCTTGAGCTCTTTGTTAACAAAAATATATAAAAAATAGGATTTTTCATTATTAGCGTCTTTACCCCTTGAGCCTTGACGACAAAAATAAAATAAAATAAAATAAAATAAATGGGTGCATTGGTGTAAGCTTCACGCAAAAACAAAAAATACTTTGTGTATCGATTCAAACCCATAAATAAATCTTCGTTTGGCATATTGATGTTGAGAATAGCTCGATATATTGATTCCAAGCTCGTAAGAGTTATTTTTGCAAGCATCATACAATGGTCTAGTATTTTTTTTTGGATTTTTTAACAAAATGCATAGTGTAAAGGAAAATGATATATAAAATAGATTTGTACCGATTAATTTAGACGAATTAATTTTCAACCTCTGTCTCTTTTTTTAACAAAAATAAATAAAAAAGGATTTTTCATTAATACCGTCTTTACGTCTTAAGCCTTGACGACAAAAATAAAATAAATAAAATGGGTGCTTTGGTGTTCTAATCATCCAATCCGGTGTTTTTCTAGTTAATTTTGTTTTTGCAAAGGCAATGCAATTGGAGAGATAATCGAGTTCTTGTTTGTGTCTTTGTGTTACTATTTTGTTGGATTTAAATCTCGGCATCTCACAATGGCCGAACGTGTATACGGGCTTCCAGGCGGTTGATATTCTTTCAACGTGTCAGATGAGTGGGTTGATGTTTGTTCCGATCTGTCACATAACTGCACGAAACCTCGTGTCCATTCGACTGGTTCTAAACTTGTTCATCTTCCAAAGTATTGCAAAGTTCCTATTGTTTTTTTTTCCACTGGCATGGTTTTGCCCGAGCGTCCAAGGTGCATGGGGTTGGATCAGACGTAGATCACTTGTTGATGCTTCCATTATTGATTTGATCAAGGTTTGGAAAACAAACTGGTTCGGAAAAAAACTAGTTCGTCGTAGCATATTCCAACACTTATTAGGACTATTTCCTCCGTCCCACAATAAATGACGTGATAGCATTCAAAATGTGTCTCAAAAGAACAGTAACATTTTAGCCTAAAGTGTGGATTCCACCCTATACCAAGTACATCACCTGTCCATCCATCGTCTCGCTCGCTGTGGTCCAAAATATATATAGAAATAAAAAATAAAAAAAATGATGGTGTGGGAGGAGGCTTATCCTTCCTAATGTTTTACTATTTGACCCTTTTTTCAAAAAATGTATGTTTAGCCCCTGGGAGATTTAAACTCATCTTTGAACCCTGGGGGTCGGCGCCATGAGTCTTGGCGCCGAGGTAACACGTCTCGGCGCCACAGATCTTGGCGTCGAGGTGCCGGTCGTGCACAGCAGGGAATCCTAGGTGGCGTTAACGTGGCCGGTACCTCGGCGCCAGAATATATGGCGCCGAGCTCGGTGCCATATATTATGGCGCCGAGCTCGGTGCCATATATTATGGCGCCGAGCATGGATAACCAACAGGAACTTCTCGTCATCTGTGGCGCTGCGGGCAACCATGGCCAGTGGCCACTCTTACATGCTGACAGTGACAGAGCAACGACGGTAATGTGCGATATTAATAAAAACCATTGCTCTGTGCCGGCCCGTGACCCCCCTGTCACCACAGGAGCAGCGCCAACATACGGCGCCTGACGGCATGCGCGTCATATCACCTGCGTGGCGCACGTCTGAAAGGTCCTAATGGCTAGAGGGGGGTGAATAGCCTAATAAAAATTTCTACAACAACACTTAATCAAATGGTTAGACAATTATGAGGCAAAGCGAGTGTTGCGCTAGCCTACTCAAAAATGTAAGCCACCTACCACAATTCTAGTTTAGATAGTGTCAATTCACACAAGAGCAATGACACTACCCTATGTTAGTGTGCTCTCAAAGGCTAACTAAAGAGCCACACCAACCAAGCATGCAAGCTCTCACAACTAGCTACACTAAAGAGCTTGTCAACTAGTTTGCATGTAAAAAAAGAGAGTGATCAAGAGGGTTATACCGCCGTGTAGATGAATGAACCAATCAATCACGAAGATGAATAACAATGATGACCAATCACCTCGGAATCAATGATGAACACAATGATTTTTTTGAGGTTCACTTGCTTGCCGGGCAAGCTAGTCCTCGTTAATGGCGATTCACTCACTTGGAGGTTCACGCTGCTGATTGGCATCACTCGCCAAACCCTCAATAGGTGCCTTTAACCAACACAAGATGAGGATCACACAAGCCACAAGCAATTTACTAGAGTACCTTTTGGCGCTCCGCCGAGAAAGGTTAAGAACCCTCACAATCACCACGATCGAGTCGGAGACAATCACCTCCTCCACTCAACGATCCTTGCTGCTCCAAGCCGTCTAGGTGGCGGCAATCACCAAGAGTAACAAGCAAAACTGCAGCAATGAAACACGAACACCAAGTGCCTCTAGATGCAACCACTCAAGCAATGCACTTGAATTCTCTCCCAATCTCACAAAGATGTTTAATCTATGATGGAAATGAGTGGGAGAACTTTGGCTAGGCTCACAAGGTTGCTATGTCAGTAGAAATGGCCAAAGAATATGAGCCACAGCCGACCATGGGGCTTAAATAGAAGCCCCCACGAAATAGAGCCGTTGTACCCCTTCACTGGGTACTCTGCTCTCTGACAGGGACGCTCCGGTCCACTTGACCGAACCCTGGACTCAGCGTCCGGTCCATAGATGGACGCCACGTGTCATTCCGAGTTAAAACTGAACCGTCAGATCTTAACGGCTAAGTATTGACCGGACGCTCCGGTCAAACCGACCGGACGCTGGAGCCACAGCGTCCGGCCGAAATCTGAGAAGGGTCCAAATCCATTTTTCTTGACCGGACGCGTCCGTCCACCTCGATCGGACTCGGCCCGGTGTCCGGTGGTATACCCTAACCATGCATCCGAGAAGTCGGCGTGACCGGATGCTTGAGCGGTCGGTAAGAGCCTTGATTCAGATTCGCGTCCGGTCCTCTGGACCGACGCCTTGACATCATTTCGATCAACTCCATTTCAACTCTTACTTCTTCACCCTTGCTCAATTGTGCCAACCACCAAGAATTTTGCATCCAAGCCAATAATAGAAAATAGACATTTCATTTTCGAAAGCGTTGAATCAGAAGCTTTGGGAGGGAGAGAGGACCCAAACCCATCTCAACCCTACAAACACCTTGTGCACATGTGGTAGCATATTTATACAAATATTATCAAGGGTGTTAGCACTCCACTAGATCCTAAATGCATATGCAATGAGTTAGAGCATCTAGTGGCACTTTGATAACCGCATTCCGATACGAGTTTCACCCCTCTTAATAGTACGGCTATCAAACCTAAATGTGATCACACTCTCTAAGTGTCTTGATCACCAAAATAAAATAGCTCCTACAAGTTATACCTTTGCCTTGAGCTTTTTGTTTTTCTCTTTCTTCTCTTCAAGTTTAAGCCCTTGATCATCTCCATGCTATCACCATTGTCATGTTATGATCTTCATTTGCTTCTCTACTTGAAGTGTGCTACCTATCTCATGATCACTTGATGAACTAGGTTAGCACTTAGGGTTTCATCAATTTACCAAAACCAAACTAGAGCTTTCAACGTCTCCTATGCGGCCTACTCCAACCGTAGCCCCTCCTAGCGTGGCGCACGTCTCCCCAGGCACGTCACGAGTGCGGACCATGCCTCAGCCCCGAAACAGTGTGCCGCTCGACTGGCAAATAAGTGTAACTCGAGAACATGTTTCCTAGCATTTCAGTGACCAGAAAAGGAGAGATTACATGGAGCTTAGTTTCCTGCACACAGACAATGGAGGCAGACGCATCGTTCACAACCGCGCGCAACGTGTCTCTGAGGCTTCGCGCGTTCAATCCCGCACGTTCCAGACTAAGATATTGTAGTTGTGGCTATCAATGGACGTGGTCGACCTTGGGGTATCGCACCGTGCTCCTCAGGTTCGTGCGTGCGCTCGGCATCAGTCAAGTTCCTGTCGCGTTCCGTGCGCACGCGACGCCTGTAGGTGCGGATGGCGGGTGTGGGCGCCTTTGTACCATCCGGTGGAGCGATAGATGGGCACGCGGCGCATGCATCGTTGACTCGGTAGCATGGGGTCCACCAAAAGCTCGGCGTGACCAAACTCAGATGGTAGTAGCTCCTCCATGGGCAGCTCGGCGGCGCACTATTCCGGGTTGAGGCATGGTCCGCTTTTCGTGGACGCGCGCGAGAGGAGACGTGCGTCGTGCTAGGAGGGGCTACGGTTGGAGTAGGCCACATAGGAGAGGTGCATCGTGCGAGCAATATGAGCGTGCACGCCGTCTGGCGCCGTATGATGGCGCTGCTCCTACAGTGATAGGGGGGTCACGGGCTGCCACAGAGCAATGGTTTTTATTAATACCGCACATTACCGACGTTGCTCTGTCACTGTCAGCATGTATGAGTGGCCACTGGCCATGGTTGCCCGCAGCGCTGCTGACGACGAGAAGTTCCTGTTGCTTATCCATGCTCGGCGCCAAAATATATGGC